TAGTTTTAACCTTTCACCTCACTGATCCATCTAGACTTACGTGGACCATCCTCCTCTGGCTTATATGACAAAGTGATCTTTCCAATACCTGCATCAAGCCCCATTCAGATGAACTCAGCCTTAGAATCCTGCTGTCCTTTCCCAAAGATCAAGATTTTTCAGATCCCTAACCCTGTTTTATTTCCAAAATATACTAAAACAACAGGGAGAGCATTGACCCTGATGTTTGGGACTTGACTGTCCTTCAGCCACTATGTGACTTCCATGAGTCACTTCTCAACTCCAGCCTCAAATGCGTCATCTCTCCAGGGGGGACATTTTGATCCTGATTCTGCTGCCTCACAGGATTGACAACAGGAAAACTAACAAGGTGTCTGAAGTGGGATGGGTGGAAATGAATAGCCAGCATAGTGCAGGTGATGGAGATTCACAAACTGGCTGCATCGACACCTTCATGTCGTATGGAATATGAAAGAATTTTTCCCTAGATAGGATACTACAGCAGTGGGAGGTGGGACCAAGGGACATTTACCTTGAGGTCACTTTCCCCACCCCTAGGCAACGTACCTGTGGCACGAAAAGAGTTCCAATCAACTATTCGCACATCAGCGAAGCCACCTTTAGGCACCACCCCAGTCAAAAGGTATATATATGCCCCACGTGTCCCCAGCAGAGAAACCCAGACCCCCAGTGGTCATGGGGTTTCTCTCCACATTCTTAGAATAAAGGCCATTTGTACTTTATATTCTCTCTTTACCATGCCAAAAATCCTATCAGTGGTTCCCCGACTGGACAGGCAGTGTAAATGTCTCCTGGAGTCCTCCCAGTTTGAGTCTCCCTGCCAATTCACGGACTGGACCGCATTCTGGATTAATTCCTCATTTCTCAACATGAGGGAGCTGCTCAATTTGTCACCACCGGCCTGCAAACAACACTGGCCTACTTCATTTACCTCAGGTGAGCAAACCTCTGTCTGAGGGTTTCTCTGTGACTGTGGGCTGGGCTCACGCTGGGTTACCTATTCTGTCCCTGGACTGGGGTAGCAGTTCTTACATTCCTTGGACAGTCCAAGGCAGAACTGTTACTGTGGTCCTCTGGGACCCACCTGTGCCTTTTGGTGACAGCCAATAGGCACGAGTTGGAACCGTTCCTTTAACCGTGCATCCAAAAATAGATGATGACCTTTTTTTCTGGCTAGCCACGGTCTGGTTCTTGGCTCATTTTTATTTAGATCATGGAAAATACTTTTTCCTCTTCCCCCAAAAACACACCTCCGGGGTGCCTGGTTCATAACCTTGGCACCCTTGGCCTAAAGAAAAACCATATGAATTAAACAATTAATCTTTTACTGCCAGGAGGCTTGGCCAACCTACAAACTTAATGGCAGTCCATGGCCTAAAGAGGAGACGTTTGACCCATGTATTCTCAAAAATTTATAAGACTTTTGTTACATTGGTGACAAGTTAGCAAAAATTCCATATATACAGTCTTTCCTTACCCTAAGAACATGCTCTTCTCTTATTAAATCATGTACACCTGCTAAAATACTTTAGCTAGCTCTGCTGCACCACAAACTTTCCCTTCCTGCCCTCAAGACCCCTTAGACGATGTGCCCCCGTCTTTAACTCCCCCTCCTCCCTATCCCCAAGATCAAACCCCGCAGCCTTCTCAGCCAAAGGTTTATGTACCCGCTGTGCTGACCTCTCCTCCTCCCTTCCCTAGGGAGGAGGGTCTCTAAACCTTTCCCTAGGGTCTCAGCCCCCTGCAGACTAGTGGGTGCCAGGCATATTGGGGCCATAATTAACTATACTCAACTGGTGTTAAATGACACTGTAGCTGGTCTCTCTCCTAAATAAAAAGGTAAAATTAATAAAACAAGTCATCCTCCAAAAATCAGATGGCCTTAGACATTCTAACAGCATAAGAGGTTATACAATTGTAAAACCTAAATGTGTACATGTCAAATGAATGACATGTCAGTTTCTAAAATTCCCTGGAACTTATCTTCCTTATGGAAAGCCATTGCTAAAGTTGATATATACGTTATAAACAGTCTCTATAGGGAGTATTGATGGCCAACCTATGCATCCTTTACAGACAGGGCCTATTTCATGCAGGTTCCAGACTCACTTCTTCTCTGGTCAATCCCATAGTTTGAGATACCTCCAATCCCACCTGCTCTACCCATGCCATGCCTACTTTAATTCATCTCAGGTATCCTTCAATTTCTCCTTGTGTTCCCCAATATCCCATAGCTCCCAAACATTTACAGGGACTTAAACCTATAATTAAGCACCTTTAGACGATGGTTTCCTTAAACCTACACATTCACCCTATAATACTCGCATTCTCCTGGTACTCAAGTCTGATGGGTCTTACCATCTAGTACAGGACCCTAAGGTAATCAGTAGTGCTGTTACCCCAATCCACCCAGTGGTGCCAATCCCTTATACCATGCTCTCTCATATCCCTCCCTCCACACTCACTTTACAGTCATAGATCTTAAAAATGCCATTTTTATTCCTTTGTGCTTATGCAGACGGACCCAGACACCAGACAGTCTAAGGTCTCAACAACTTACACCTGTTATTTCTAGTAAAACCTCTCCTCAGAGACACATAGCACCCCCTTCCTTTCCTATTCATCAGTTTCTCAGAAACAAACCTGGTCAAGACTGGCAGGTAGATTTTGCACACATGTCCTGCCACAAAACTCTCAAATATCTTCTCACCTTTGTTTGTACTTTTTTAGGATAGGTAAAAGCTTTTCCCACAACCAGGGAGACTGCTGATATACTTACTAAAGTCCTATTACAGAAAATCATCCCAAGGACTATAACCAACGTGGAGCAGCCTCTACCTGGTCTTCTTGGCAACCCCAACAGTGGTCAAAGTTACTGGACTGCCATCCTGGTTCCACATCACTCAAGTGGTGTCCTCCTAGCACTAAATTTAACCATCCTATTGCCCACTCATCTCTGGTTCACCAAGGCCTCACAGCCACAACTCTCAGGCTAAGTCATGTTTTGTTATCCAGCTTGGTTCCTAATTTCTTACATTCTATTAATTATCCTTTTTACAGCAGGACTCCTAACAGTCTTTCCTAAAGACTCCCACATCATGTGTAAAGATCATCTTCATGTTTTTCTACATGACAACTGTCTTAGTTCTCTCTACCCTTAGCTGTTTAATCAAACATGAGATCCCTGAAGGCCTAGGCCCTTACCTTCCTTATAGTGACACAGCCATGGCCAGCCCCACCCTTCTTACTCTTTCCAGCTCAACTCCTAGACCAGAGACAAGCCCTACCTACCTACACTCTTAACTTTTATCCTTTCAGATGAGGGAATAACTATCTCTCATAGCTTCACTCGTAGAATAATCACCTCTCATAACTTCACTCCTCCTAACCCCATACTATCATGGGTCAAATCACTCTTTGCCCCACGATCCTTGGAAAGTATGTTTTTACCTTTTGCATTGTTGTGTGCAAGGCTAGGTCTATTGTTGTCCAAAGAGAACTCAGAAGCCCAAACAGGAGGTAGCCCAATGGATCTATAGCATCTCTCCTCAACCTCCCTACGTCACATTCCTGAGACCTTTCCTGCTGTCTGATTGATATAGGGGAATGAAACACCCAACCTACTATGTCCACCAGTTCGTGTTCTCTAAAACTGGAGAACGAATTTTAGGAACAATGAAGCTGAAGGGTAGAATATATTTATTGAGAGAAAGAAAGCTTCTGTCTGAGAGAGACAGAAGGGGCCCTGAGCAGGTTGCCAAGGTCTTTTCCAGGGATTTTTATAGAGTAAAACCATGGGTTCAAGGTGGGGGAAGACTGGGAATTCACAAGGCAGATGGGAATAAGGTGGAATATAAGTATAGTTAGCCAATAAGATCAATAGTTCAGGTAAAATTGATTACATTAGAGACAAATGGGGAAACGAGTCACAGAAAGCGGGCAATCTTTAAGAGCTGTGACTCTTTCCTAGGGGGATGGGAATTATTTAGGGTATGGATGCATTTGTATGGTCTTTTGTCTTTAGGCCTGGCCCACAACAGGAGGTGTCAGTCCCCCCCCCCACACACACACAAGTTACCAGGTATCTACACTACCTCCATTGAGGATCTAGCCCTGTCTCACTGCCTATAATATTTTTAACTAAATCAGCTGCCTGCAACATGATGGGGAGTTCACCACTTCCAGCAATGGTCTTCTCTTTGTTTAAGTCTAATCTTGCAAGCTGACTCCTCAGACTTCCTACTGTTGGCCTCCATTCGGCCATGAGACCCGAAACTTACTCTCTGATAATGGTCAAAAACTTAGAAGACTGAATTGTTATTTGATATTTTACTAGTTTTTTAAGCACTATTATTTCATGTAAGGTAAGATATCCATTTAAGACCACCACATGGACATCTTTCTACTCAATGTCTAGTTATTCGGGTACCTCTATTAGAGTGGTGTTATCATCTATCTGCTAACTTGTATTAAAAACAAAGCTCTATCAATTTATATCTTCCCCAAGACACTACTACACTCCCAGGACCTTAGTGTGACAAAGTCCTTCTTCTCAGAAAAATCCACATATGCACTATATTGCACATTTGGTTCAATCCAGCTGATCTGATTGTCTTGAAAGTCAGCCCTAGAGATGAAAAACAAAAACAAATCAAAACTAAATAGCTTAACCTGCTGTCCTTTGGTATCCACTTTCTAAGTGGTGTCAGGCTGTTGGTGCAACTGTCTCCAGCACTATATAAACACACACACACACACACACACACACACACTGCATCAGTCTGAGCTAAGATTTCAAATTTAACCCCCTATGGTCTCCTGTTCCACAAGTGATTTTAAAAAATTATTTGGCTGTCAAATGGGCTGCTATGACCAAAGCTTTTCTTTATTCGCTAGAGTTGATCATAAACAAACTCACTTACCTCAAATAATTCATAGCATTTTGCTTTCATAGCAAAACACATCCATAACCAGATACATGCCACAGGAAATATCATTTATTTTTCTTTACATTTATTCTTCCATGAAGAGAACAACTTTTAAAACAAATCCAAGTCAGACAATAGAGATTTGCGGGACACTACCACATCCAGGACACAGAGAGGACATTATTGAAATAGTCTGCATTTTCACAAAGACTGAGATACAGAGAGACATGGGCAGGCACCCCACAATGTCTTCACAGTCACCAGTGCAGTCATGCTGTTTATGGGCATGACGGAATATCACCCTCCAGTTCTGTAAAGAGAAGGGCTGGTGTTATTTAATTCAAATACCAAGGATTTCTGGCATCTGCTGGAGAAATATCTGAGAAAGTGGAACTACTAAATATCTAAAAATCTCAAAAGTTTTAGAGGACAAAAATCTGATATTTCTAAGTGGTCTGCTTATGATTATAAATCATTTTGGAAAATCTTATAGCAAAGAATGTATTTTCTTCATTGCAAATTTAGCACAAGAACACTATGGAGCTATAAAGGTTGTTTGGCTTTTTTGTTTTTAATTGGATGGGACCTTTCATTATCTGATCCAATCCCTGATTTTGCAAACAAATAACCTTGAACCAAAAAAGATGTGAAGCTTTTCTTCCCAGGCCACCCAGCTAGACAGTTGCAGACCCAGGTCTTTGCAACTCTTAGTGTTCTGCTTCTCCACCACCCTGTGTACACTGTGTGATTTTCCCCTCCGTGCCTTTCAAAAGAAATTAAAAACACATAAAGTGAGTCCAGTGGGATTAAAAGTAATGACTTCTTTGGTAAGAAGGCTTCAGTTTTTACATGATCAAAGATGGAAAAGAGATCACATGGCAAGAAACAGATTCCCACCTGGGCAAGAACCTTTCTTCTCTGAGAATTAAGGCAGTTTAGGGAATCTTTTTCAGCAAGATATTTGGCAAGAGTTGGCAGCTCCCCTCTTCCTTTGTCTCATTTGCATCTAGAATAAAGACTAACATGTAAATATTAAATAACTAGACATTGAGTAGAAGGATGTCAACATGATGGTCTTAAACAGATCTCTTACATTTCATGGAAAATAATAATTCTCTTAAAATCTAGTAAAATATCAAAAGTGTCTAGTGTCGTATTATAATACACAGGAGTACCCTGGTCCTGGGTGACTTCTCCTATTAAAAAAAAGATTACAAAAAAGATGTCAGTCATTACTTAGGATGAAGCATATAGTCTTTCTCTGTTATGTGTAGCTAGAAAGGTGAACCCAGAGGTCTCCCAGCACCTCTGTGAGAATCTTCAAGGCCTTTCTGGGTACCTCTACTCCCTCAGGGTACCTAGGATTGGAACTAGGAACTGCTCCATCTACCCCAGACTCAGGAGTCAACTTCACCCCGAGGCAGCACCATGGCATTAGTTTGATGATCATTCAGCTAGCACCACTCCTCTAATTAGCCCCGAGGACAGTGTCTAGAGGCAGAACGACCACAGTGCAGGCGACTAAGAAAAAATTAGCAAGCTGGCTGTGATCTAATGCACATGAGCCTTTCTGAGTGGGTGCTCAGGTCAGCCAGATGAATTTAGCTTCTCAGGCTCCACTGTTCAGCAAGTAGTTATTTTCATTAAAAGGGTGTACAGCAACTAAACCATTTCCTGTCTGGCAAGCAGCCAGGTAAGAATGAATGCCACTCTTTTCTCTCTTCTCTTTGTTCCAACACATTGTTCTTTGGCTAAGAAGTGCTCCTTTGCTTTTGAGTAGATTTCTGGGTGTTCTGTGTCTCAAGACAGTCCTAGGTGGGATGGACCATATGGTGAACATATTCTGAGTTCTCTGAGCTGAGAGCTGAGCTTATGCATGAAGCACCAACTCAATTCCTTGGAGGTCAGTCCTTCAACTACATGAACTGAAATTCCAGTCTTAGTTTTCTCACCAGGGAAGTGGGGAAATAGGAGCCAGCCTTGCTGTACACACACATGGGGAAGCTAGGGGACAACATGGGAAAAGTGCTTTGTTAAAATTTAAAAAATGATAACATTTAGGAAGGAATTATCTCTCATGGAAGGAGTCAAGGGATCTAGACCAGCACCTGATCCATTCTATCTGTGTGCAGCTGGCCTCCTCTTTCCCAAGGGCCCAAGCCACTTAGGCTACCTCAGGTCATACACTGGCCTTCTTTTAATGAAAGGTCAAAAAATTGTTCCTCTCTTTATTCTCTAAAGAGTGACCTCAAGATTTTGACTCAGCAGAAAAACCCAACGGCTCTCAGAGATAAGCTTTCACTGTCTCCAAATGACTCAATCTTGCCCTCAAATTGCAGTATCTAAGGGGCTCACAGACATCCTGGCTTTAGCCACAGCACATTCTCGAAGTTCTTCCCACTCCCAGGGTAAGTGAAGTGGTCTTATGTGCAACAGGGACTCACACAGTCAAAATAGGAATGCACAATTTCTCAATGACTTCCTGTGACTCAGCCCATAAATAGAAATCTCGAATGAATGCCACCAGTTTTCCAAACCACCAATCATTGCTCATCGAATTGAAACCAAGCACTTGGGAGTTTTACCAGAAGTAAAGCCAGGAATGTCAAAACCCACCAACCCTTTCTTCCACTCAGAATATTTTCTCAATTTGAGTGATTAGGTTGTGGAGTGTTTTGCCCCACTCCACCCCATCCAAGGTACCCAGGTGTCTAGATCTTAACAAGAGACAAAAGGAGTTTTCAGGGTCAATTCCCCATTACTCACGCTGGTGGGGTGAGGGAAGGTTTTCCTAGTGTCCATGAACAGTAAATAGGATAGTTTGTTACTCCTCTGGCCCTAAAAGGACAGCAGAGTTCCCTATGGTTTATCCTCACACTTGGCTTACCCAAGACCCTGTCCAATTTCCCCAAGAAGATCTCAGGAAACACCAATGAGTTTTTAGAATCCCATGTGTCTCATAGGATAAGATTAGCACGTGCATTTGAAATACACATTTGGCCTCGTTGCCTCTACCTAGTGCAGATTCTCTGGGACCCTGCTTTCCCTGCTTCACCTGCATTCTTTACCTGGCATCAATGGCTGTGGGCCATCTGAACAACAGAAGCCAGAAGAGCATTCTGGATCAGACACAAATCAAATTCAGATAACCAGGGTAAAAACTATGAAGATTTCTGCTCTAGGTCCCAAAAGCATCAATCTACTGATTTCATTTAAGGACAAATAAGCTGATATTCCCAAAATGAAGTTGAGACACCAAAGTGCTTGTGGTGGGCAAGAGAAGGGGAACATAGGAAATTCCCATTCACATACCAAATTGGTCTGGATACATTTTGGTGTCTGATCTAAAACCCATCCTCTCTCAGACTGGGTGAATGAGATTTTCTTCTGTGGCCCAAAATATAAGTAAACATGGTAAAGGATTCTACCTGAGCCATGGATTTCAGCTTGGGCGAGCTCCCAAAGTAATGAGACCTACCCCCCAAAACTGGGGTTCCCACACAAGTCCTTTTTACTGATTCCTCCTCTCCTCTTCTTTGAGGCTCACCAGTCCTTCACACTCATAGGCCCTAGGCCAGATGAACAGAGGTGAACAAAAATCATAGTTACTAAGTCATTTGTAACCAAGAAAAGAAGAGGGGATTGGAAAGAGCGTCTTCCAGGAGAAGAATTCCAAGACAGTGTCCAGGGTCAGAGTGAAGCAGAGGCCTTTGACCAGGACCTGGACACAGTGGACTCCTCCTCCTCCAGGTGAAGTTCAGATGGCCAACCAATGCTGCACCTGTAGAGAAAGATGTCAAAGTGTCTATGACAGGCCAGGGCAGGTGGAGAGCAAGGAGACCAAGCTCGCAGGGTTTCAGAAAGCTAAGAGAAGGCAGAACAAACAGCCCCATCCTTTCACAGCCCTTGGAAAACAAGCAGTTTGATGCTCTAGTTGTCACCTTGGCCCAGAAAGTGCAAAGCAGAAGGTGTGGGTGGCCTTTACGAGCCACCTAGAGCCTCCTCATTCCCAAATCCTGACATTTTTGGGTGAAAAGGGAAGGATGAGGGCTCAGCTTAATTTGATGACATTCCATATTGACAACTCAAAGAGGCAGAGTAGAGTTGAAAGAGAAATTGAGCATGTGACATCCCAGGACCAGGGAACGGGGGGCAGGGGAAGGCTGGGTAGAGCAGAGCACAAGCCCCTCTCCTCCACTCCAACACCACAGCCCACAGACCTGAGTTTTCAGACTGTGGAGCCCTATTCTTAGTTGGGTACCCTGCAGGGAGCTTGGAGGGACTGTTCCAAACCCCAGGCCCCGCCCCAGTTATTCAGGCTGCATCTACCTGGAATTGCCTGATTTCTCTCTGTGCCACCAGATGGTGCTCATTCTCCGGTGTGATGCCATAAGCCAGTCTCTGTGAGGAGGAAGAAGGAAGAGTCCTTAGTCTGGCCATGGAACACCTTCCCAGTCCCCCAGCTGACACCTGTGATTTGGTCCTCAGCTATCTGGACCTGAACTCCCACACAGATCTATAAAAGACATCCAACCCATCCCACCTTTGTTTGTGGAGCTGGTTGATGCTCTTTGAATCATGCATTAGTGACTGGTTCTCAAGCTGAGTACTGTGGCCAGTACTGGGCTGGGGCTGTGGAGCCCTGCAGTCTCCACCTGGGGGAGCTGACAGCCATGAAGGAATTGGCATTGAGCAAACACACAGAGATACACTGTAAATCAGTAAATGCTGAAGTGAGAATATGAAGGGGTCCCCTGCCCTTCATGAGGTCAGGGAAGACCTCCTGGGGAGACACTCCCAGGGATTCAGTGTGAATTCTGAATCACAGCTGGTCACTGGATTGCAGGAGATGTCTTCCCTCCCAAGTGTGAAGAATGAAAAGCCCTGTCTAGGAGAATGCATTGAATATGGATTCTCCCTGTGGCTCAGGACACAGACGTCCTGGACAGAAAACATCAGCTGAAGAACTGGGAGGAGAAGGGTGAAGACAACAACCTGTGACCCTCTTCCTTAAATTTCTGCATGGCTCACTCCCCTATGGGCCTGTTTTATCTGTCTTATCATTAGAATGGGAGCTTCAGAAGGTCCGCAAATTTTGTTCAGTGCCCAGAATACCAAGTGGCACATATTAGATTCTTAGTAAATTCCTGCCCCATGAGTAATGAGTGATGAAGGGATGATATCTTTGTTTTACAGTCTCTAGTCCATGCTGATCATATTATAATCAGGAAAGAGGCAAGTGAAACCAGAAAGACCAGATCATAGCATAAGGGACTTAGAGAAGGAGATTTGGGACAGGGAGAGAAAAGACAAACATTGGAAGACAAAAACAGAAGCCAAATTTAAGCAATTTGTCTGACTAGCCCTCACTGAACTACAGGGCTAAACTATGTGAACTTTGTTACATAGACAGCAACAGTCACCTAGGAGCAGCCGTAGTGGTGTGCCAGGTGCTGTACTGAGCAATTCCTTTTCCTTTTCAAGGTAAGCACTGTTAGCCTCAGGTTACAGATACAGAAACTGAGGCTTGGTGGGATAACAACTTGGTCAGTAAGGTGGATGTCTGACTCCCAAGGAATGCCAGCCACCGCCTGTCCCATCCCATCCCCACTATGGCTGGCCCAGCTCACCTCCCGCAGGGAGCCCCGCGTGCTGAGGCACTTGTAGATGATGTAGGCAGGAACCAGGGCCATGGATGAGAGAGAAATGGCCCATCCGAGCCAGTTGGCCCAGGTGGGGAAGACGTAATCATCATAGGTGAGTGGTTTGAAGTTGACGATGCTGACTACCACCACAAACTAGGGGAGAAAAAACAAAAGAGAAGGGTGGGGAGAAGAGGGGGAGGAGAGAGGGAAGAGAGAACATAGCAAATGAAGAGGAAGAGGTGAAAGGACAGACAAAGAAAGAAAGGTAGAAAAATGAGAAGCAGTGGGTGAAATGCGTGATAGGGAAAGGGACAAAGAAAGAAGAGTTAAAAACAGAATAGGGACTTGAAAGCTAGCACAAGTCTCCCAGGTTGGACACCCCTGCTAAGGTAGAAGCCCACCATTACACCAATCAGCAGACTAAGCATCCCAGGGCCGCTGTCTACATGGCCAGGTCTTCAGATCCCAGTGCCCCCTCCCTTAAGAATCAATATTCCCACCCTGTTCTACCTTGAACACACCCTGAACACAAGCTACTCACCAGGAGGAAGGCCGGGCTGAAGAACTTCCAGCACAATCTCCAGTACAGGCCCGGCTTAAACCCCATCATCTGCTGGATGTCATTGCTGAACCTGTCCACACCTGTTCACATAGAAAAGACTCGTTACGGTGGCCCACACAACCCGTGGCCCAGGAGTCCTGAGACGCTGGTCCTCAGATGGACAGCAAGGCAGTGATCTGCTAATAGGGGCTGACACTTAGCTGATTCAGAGCAAGGAAGAGGACAAAATGAAGGACAGAGTTACCCTTTATGCCTCACCCCAATTAACTTGTAAGAGGGAAATCAGTGTAGAGGGAGCTTGCCTCAGGCTACAGAATCCCAGCTTTTTCTTCTTGATCACTCTTTCTTGGAAAATGACAGTTTTGTATGCAGTCATTGTACCCGCATGTGTAGGCACATGTGAAATCCTGACTGTAACCATGTAGAAGAGTTCAAGTTCCTACATTGCATTCCTTTCTGATTCTTCCCCGGGGAAGGAAGGGAGGTGCAAGACGAAGATTGGGGTGTTATATGGGGTGAGGGTAAACAGTTACAGTACAGTTTGTAAAATATTTTTTCAGTTTGGTTCTAAGATAAGCTTATCAAAACATAGGATACACAGTTAAAATTGAAATTCAGATAAATACTGAAATGGGAAAAAACATTAACATAAGTATGTCTCATGCAATATTTGGAACATATACATACCAAAAGAAAAAAATTCAAGTTTAACTTTTTTAATGCGAAATTCAGGTTTAACTGGGCATACAGCATTTTGTTTACTAAATCTGGAAACCCTATGCTAGAGTGAATTCCACAACTTGAGGACCTATGGCTTCTTTTGGGTTCCTGCGCAGAGCTGACAGTGGATGCCTTCAGAAGTTTTTGTAGCCTCCACTGAAAGGAGTATATGTTTAAAGCTGAGCTGAGGTTAGGAAGACTTGTCCTCAATAAGCAGCCTGCTCATCTCTGGAGATCCAGGGACTGCCCTGGGAACAGAGAGCCCTTTTGTCCAGGTAAAAGGGCTCCACAAGCTTGGGAACCAAAGCTTTGTCACACACTCACATACCATAAAACCAGGAAACTCCAATGGCTTCTATGAGTACCGCAAACAGGATGGAGGTGCCTGCCGCAAAGGTGTCCAGGAGAGTTAGGACGTAAATTCCACCCTGGGCCATGGAGAGAAAAGACCTGAGGCCATGTTTGACTAGAAGCGGTCACTGACTGGTGCATACATCAATTCTTACCTATCTCCTTGCCCCACCTGTTCAGAACTGTCTGAGAACTCAGGTGACAGGCTTTGAGTTGCACTCTAAAGCCTCTGGAAGCCATTCAATCTAAAGCTAGGTATTTTAGCCAGTATACAGTGATTTGAATTTCAAAGGGATTTTTGCAGCCCCCAAATCAATATGCAGTTAGCAGGCAAAAAGGCAGAAAGAAAAAGCCATGTGTCTCTCCAGAGAGAACTGGCCTGGCTTAGGCACCCCAGCTCCAAGCCTGGAAATACCTTAACTTTGTTGAAACGCAGTCAGAAGTTCCAGGTGACACAGGCCGAAACCTTCCTCACCTTGGTTATGCAAAACAGAGCCAGAAGAAAGGTGCCAAGGGTGACTCCCAATGTGAAGAGTTTCCGGTGTCTCTTCAAGACTTGGAAGTCATCAGCCAGGCCTGTGATGACCGCCTCCATGCCTCCCATCTGGAGGGAACCAGGCAGATGGAAAGCAAAAATGAGGATCCACCACGTATATGATGAGGCCTGGGACTTAGGTACCCTGGCTACTGCCTGGTCCCCATCATCTCTTCCCTTTTCTGCCCTGCTCTCAACCCTGCTCTCAATCTGGTCCCTGCTTTTCTGCCACCTGCTCTTCCTTTGTCTGCCCTTTCTCAACCTTTGAAAATGTGTAAGAAGGTGAAGAGATAACTGAACTCTGATATGTTCCTGGTAACAAGTAGCTGCCTCCTGCTCATTCACTCAGCCTCCCTGAGGACTGATAAGTTAATAAAGAGTGAAGGGACATAAGTGACATATTTGAATGTAATAGGGTCTTCTGCAAACATCTACCAAAGAAGCACCCCAAGACATTTGGCTGTTTTTCCAATTGTCAGGAAATTGGTCACCTCAAACACAGTCTGAAAGGATGTCACATCTCACTGCTCTGAGCCCATACATTTCTTATGAATCACTGCTGTGACAGAAAAGAAGTGAGCATGCTCCAAACTCCCCTCCTCTTATAAGACCTTATTTATCAAAACCAGTATTTTTCCCTAGAAACCCCAAAGCAGCCTCCGAATCCTTCCCAACACACTGCTGCCAGTGAAAGGCAAAGGCAGGGAGAGGAATCTATTGGGAAGCCTTACCAAAAACTTTTTGGCAAACCTCCAACCATAGACAAAGACATAAGAAGATGTAAAAAATCTGCATTTACAAATGGGTAACATAAAAGGATCTAAGAAATTAATGAGGTTCGAAATATTTTTGTCGTTTTCTGGTGAATTCTAAATGAATGAGAAAGAGCCTAAAGAATAAGACTTATCAGTGTTCTCCCTGAATTTCTCTGTCTGCAAGAGGACCAAGTGTTAGGCTAACTTTTCTTAAGTCCTTTCTGATTTTGATTTTTATATTGCTAGTGGAGCTACCATTGGTTCTTGACTTTGACCAAATCTTATTTTTTTGAAGGTGGACACATTTCTCTGTTAGCATTTAAGTAGGGTCTTTGGAAAAACTACTAACCAAGAGTCCAAATGGTGAGAACTTTAGGCTGAGTACTATGTGTGTGTTGGGGTGAGGGTTAAAACCAGACTAGGGGTGGGGCTGTCCTGAATAGGGTCACTCACTGAGCTGTCAAGGCCCAGAGTCAGTAGCATGATGAAAAACAGGATGGCCCAGAATGTAGATCCCGACAGGGTAGAAATGGCTTCTGGATACAGGATGAACACAAGCCCCGCTCCTGTAAGAAACATCAAGGACCTCATCAATGGCTAGGACTGTTGATCAGAGCTGCAGGTGACAGAGGAGCATTTAGCTCCGAGGCCCAGTTAGCTCCCACCGAGCCCCAGAACACTTGTGGCCACTGTAGACCAAGAGTCTACAGAGGAAACCAATTCAGAATTTTAGTTCACTTGTGTTAATGTTTCAATCTTTATGTTTCCCAGAGGCCCTTGTATTAAAGGCTTCAAATCTACTAACACCTGCCTCACAGCATTGGAAGAATGAAGCAGAAGTGTGTTTCTATGGTTTGCATACAGTTTGTCTCTACCAAATCTCATGTGGAGGCTTTGTCTCCAGTGTAGCAAGGGAGAGAGGGGATGAGGCTATGAAGAGGTCATTAGGTTGTTAAAGAGATTAATGCTTTTCTTTTGGGAATGAGTTCTTCCTTCTTAGAGACTGGTTATTGACAATGGATTGTTACAAGGTGAGACTATGCATTTGGTATTTCCTACACACAAGACATTTCTTCTTCTCCTTCTTGGTTATGAATTTAGCTGTGTATTGCCTTCATCTCTCACCAGGAACTCAACAGAGGCTGGCACCAAGCTCTTGGACTTCCAGAAGTGTGAAGTAACAGAACCTTTTTCATATGTAAATTGTTCGGCCTCAGGTACTTGGCAGTTGCACTAGAAAATGGACTAAGATATATGTCAGCTGCCTAGCACAGGTGCTGGTAGAATAGAAACTCCAAAATCTTTTCTCTCAGACAGACACAGAGGAAAGTTCAGTTTCACACCAGGGCCCAGGATTTCTTAGAATCTCCATTGACAGACCCAAGGGAAAACCTATAAATTGGACTGTGTGAAATCTGTTATCAGCTTTCACCTTCCTATAGACACAGAAGAGTGGTGCAATCAGGAATCAGGTGGCTTTTCAAGCCTATTATTTTTTGACTAAAGTAAAAGCACTCTGCCCACCTACCTTCAGTGGCAACATCCTCAATGTTGACCTTGTGTTCATGGGCCATGTAACCAAGGATGGAAAAGATGGCGAACCCAGAGATGAAGCTGGTGACACAGTTTATGGTACTGGTCAGCATGGCATCCCTGCGGGAAAGAATTGCTGCTGGTTCAAGTTGACCTGACTGTCACACCCCAAACCTGTTTGGGGAACACTGACCCTGTATGAGAACTGAAGTCTAGACTCAGCCTCAGACTCCAGCTCTCCTGTACCCTCCTCTGCTGCCACATGGACTCAGGCCCTCTCATCACTTGATTAGAACCCCCTGGTGCAGGCAGTAGGTGAGTAGCTCATTGATGGACTAGTTTGACACTAGTCTCTGACACCAAATTCTTATTTGGGAATCAACTCATCAGTCACATTAAGCAAATTTTTCTTGGCTCCCCAAGGTTTCCCAACTCCTTGCTTGGCATTTAAAATCTTTGCTAAGAATATCTTTCATCTAGGCTTATTTTTCATGACTCCCAATATAATAATTTAAATAAACAAAAGCATTCAACTTACTGACCCACAAACACCACCTCTCTGCCTTTCTTCATGCTGTTTCTCGCCACACATGTCATCTATTTTGTGCCTGCCTATCATAATCCTAGTTGGTCCCTGAGCTTTGCCTCAGAGAATCTCTTGCTAGTATCCTACCAAGGGCTCAGCCATCCTATTTCCTTATCTCCTAAAGCTTGCCCTACTATATGCACTCATCCTACTCTTTCTTCTATCAGAAAATCTGATTCTGCCTTACTCCTAGGATGCAGTGATGAAGGTGGGCCCAAACTGCGCATCTTCGAAGCCCTCACAGCACTAGACCTGTAGGAAGCAGCAGTAAGTTTTTATTAATCTGAGTTGGAGCAAATATGCTGACTATTTGCCATTTAGTCTTATCTACAACAGAACCATGTTTCACTAGCCTGATTATTCTGCCTGCCAGAACATTTAATGGGCAATCAAGCGGTACCATTTTCTCTGAAAGCCACACTGTGTTCCTCTGTCCCAGGTACAGATCTCCATAATATCTTGACCATAATGACATCACCTTTCTCAATTTGGCATCTTTGTATTCTGGTTTAGATGTAAAATGTTCCCTGGCTTAGTTACTTTTCTCTCTCGTTGAGACAAAATACCTGATGCTCGAAGGTAGGGAGGTGAAGATTTATTTCTTACAGGTTGGAAGTTTCAGTCCATACTCACTTGGCTCCAACCAGCAGGGTGGCATGGTGGGGCTACCATAAACAACAAGCTAACAGCAAAAGAGAAAGACACATCTTCTTTCTGCCTTTACACTGTATGTGTGCTCCATCCCTGGGCGGGTACAGCACTCACACTGCCAAACCCAGTGCTAGACAATGAACCAATCACAAATGCCAGATTCAACTGCCTTCCTGATTGCATGAGGCTTGAGGGGACACCAAACATAAATCATAACATCCCCCTAAATATCTTATATATTTGGAGGCAGATTCTGCTCATAAGACATAGGTTACTGGTAGCATGATTTAGAAGGACATATTCTTGTCCCTAAATCCTCCTTTTCCTCTCTGGCTGTCATAGTGAATAGCTCTCCTTCACCAAAATGCCATGCAGTTTCTGCCTTGGACACAACCAACCATGGACTGAGCCCCTAAACCTATAAACCAAATTAAACTTCTACTTCTTTAAGTGACAGGTGTTGGGTACTTTTTCCTAGCCATGGGAAAGCTGACTAATACATTCTGTTTAGGAGGCATCCTGGAGTAAATGGTGCTCATTAGAAGCCCATAGACCATACCACAGTTCAGAGAATGCCTATGATGGCTCAAAAGAAGGAAATTTTACTTGTGCACGAACAGTTGGCTTTCAGATCAGTCAGAGTCCTCTGTCCTGTTCCTAAAAGGATCAGTACCCAGGATTCAGTTTTTCACAGCTCTGAGAAGAAACTTACCTGTAACAGTTGTTGTCAAATTTGTTGTAACTGGCAAATGCAACCAAGACTCCAAATCCAGCCCCCAAGGAGAAAAATATCTGAGTTGCAGCATCAATCCACACCTGAAATCAGCAGAAAAAGCCATTACTTTCTTCTTCATATGTATTTGGACTATTCCAGTGGTTGGGAAGGGTTGAAAAACCCAGGGAATATTCTGAAAATAAAGTACATGATCTGAAGTGGTGATGGACAGTCTTGAAAATCACATTTTCCCACAAGACAGGTTAGGTTCTCCTTAGAATCTCCTAGCCTGGGGTATTCATGAGTTCTTTGGAGGAACTCAATGAATCATTTAAAACCCTGATTTTCAAAGAAAGCAAACAAACCAAAAGTCTGAGCTAGAATGTTGATGGGACAATAGCAAAAGTTCTGTTCATTTCAGGAGTTTTGGGATAAAACATTTGCATAAAGGGAAAGTCCCTCATAGTAGACCTCGACCAGCACAGGATAGAGATTACTGAGGAAGAGAGCCTTGGGGAAGCAATGAGATTTACTTGTTCTATCCTTTTGGTGATGAAAGCATATGGCTAGACGTCTGAAGACCTGAGCCCCTCTCCAGCTTCTCTGTCTAACTGGTTATCCCTGGTCAATTCCTTCTGTCTAATACCCTAGTTTCCTCATTTGTATGCTGGAGGCATAATTATACCTCCCCAGTTAAGAGCTGAAATGGATTTTTGTCAGCTTCCCATTTGCATAGTTCCAGTTTCCTCAACTTTGAAAACAGCACAATGAAAGGAGCAGTTTGATCAAGGAAATCGATCTGCTCCTTGAGACTACACTGACAGTTTCATTTCTACACATCTGAATGACTAGGAGGAGCTAAACAACTGCAGAACAAACAGAAGTCTGCTGTGTTTCACAAGCCTGAAGACTGGTTCATGTCTTATGTTATCTTTCTGATGGTTACTAGGGAAATAAGTTTCCTCTTGGTCACTGTTTTATGACAGTGATGCATTTGGGGCTTGATTTATGGGAGTAGCACACTGGGGTGCTTCCCTCCTAATACCATGTTGCCTACTAGTATCACTGTGGACACAGATAAAATGTAAAAAAATTTCTTGAGAGTTGTGAGAAAAAAAATGTTGAGATTTTCTTTCTGTGGGAACCTGGAAGAGGAGACTAGAATAAGCTTAGCCATTATTTGAAGATGTGATGGTCTCTCCTCCCACTCTCATTCTGCCACCTTGGATTCTGCTATCAAATTTCCCCCCTTTCATTACAATTTGGACCTCCAGGTAGAATGGTGAACCAGAGGCTGTTGCAGGACAGAGGTGTCATGCTCATGTCTCCCTGATGGCTAAGGCTGCTCTTTACAATGACAGCATGGGACAGTGACAAAGGCCATATTAGGGATTAAGAATAGAAATAAGACAAGAGTGGCTGACATGGGCTAATATGCCACAGGTACAAGACAGGAATAAGTTCCAAGAATATCATGTCTCCTTCATGGGGTATGACTCTCCTTGCAAGAGTGGTTTGTGAAGGCCACCAAATAGAATCACAAATATCCCAGACCATCAGAACCAAATGGGCTCAGGGAAACTTCCGGTGCAACTTTGCATTTATTTCATGGAGAAGCTGCTGCTCAGAGAAGAATCTTTTCCAAGGCTAACTCCAATTTCATAAGAAAGCTGAAGACAGACTTTTTCCATTTCAACACTCAGTGAGAACCCTCCCAACCACCCTGGCCCAAGGCCATGTGGTCATGGGACACTGACCGTGGCGTCCTTTAGACGGTAGAAGTCGATGTGCAGGTAGGCGCTGATGCCATTGGAGGCGCCGGGCAGCGTGATGCCATGGACCAGGAGCACAAACAGCACGAAGTAAGGCAGCGTGGCCGTGATCCACACCACCTGGGGAAAGCACAAGCTGGCCGTGAGAGCCTCACACTGTGACCTAGTAGTAGGTAGTGGGGATCTTAAGTCTCTCTTTCCCAGAGAAACTACCATGCCTTCCCACCACCTTCCTTCACCCAATCCACATGCCACGGGCTCTGTCTCCAGGCAGGTCCTAAACCAGAGGCAGTGACAGAAAAGTTGATAGAAATTAAGCCTGGTGGCTCACACTTGTAATCCTAGTGTTTGGGAGGCTGAGGCAGGACGATCATTGTGAGTCAAGAATAGCCTGGGCTACAAAGTGAGCTCAAGGCCAGCCTGAATTGCATAGTGAGACTCTGTCTCAGAAAGACAAAAAAAAAAGAAAGTCAATAGACATGGGTACATTATGGGAAGGCTCAGAACCAAGTAAGTGAGGTGCTCGGGGAATACTCTTGAGATAGAAGTGAAGGTCACAAAGCAAGGGATGCCACTGCCTCTAAACAGTGCCTCTCTTGACCCTCTTGAGTTGCTTCAGAAAGAAGGAGCAGACCCACATTTTTGCTTTCCACTTTCCCTGCGAGTCCTGCATCCATCACACCATTGGTATGGGTCGCTGCACTTACCTTCCCCCACCCCAGTACTGGAAATTGAGCCTGGGACCCTCACACTGAGTTACGTCCTAGCCGTTTTTAATTTTCATTTTATGTTTTTATACAAAGTCTTGCTGAGTCACCCAGGCTGTGCTCGAACTTGCAATTCTGGCTTAATCTCCAAGAGTACTTAGATTTCAGGCATGTGTACTACACATAGTTTTTGCTCTCTCTCTCTCTCTCTTTCCCTCTTTTCCTTTTCTTCGCCTAATTACATACATCTCCTTACCACTGCCCAAGAAACAGAAAGTAGAATCTTTGGCTGTTGCCTCTCTTGGTAGGAGGTAGATGGATGGATGGAGAGAGAGAGAAAGAGAGAGAGAGAGACAGAGAGAGAGAGAGAGACAGACAGAGAGTGAGAGAGAGAGAGAGAGACAGAGACAGAGACAGAGAGAGACAGAGAGAGACAGAGAGAGACAGAGAGAGAGAGGCGGCATTTTTGGTGATCAGAAACACCAAAGGAAGCAGTTTTCCTCAGGGCGAAAGGGAAACTCCATTCACTGCCTTGTGCAGGTTGGGGAAAGGAGAAGGAAGCTAGGGCAGGGGAGTTTATGTGGACTTTTCAGTATTTCTTCATGTTGCAGCTACATTTTTGAGTATTCTGGGAGAAGTCATTGGTAAGAATGTAAAGTGCAGCCAGGCATGGTGGCACATGCCCGCAATCCTGCTAGTCAGGAGGCTGAGGAAGGATCCATAGTGTCACAAAAGAGAAAGGAAGAAGAGAAGGAGAAGGGATAGAGGAAGAAGAAGAAAAGAGAAAGTAGAGGGGCAAGAAGAGGGGAGTTGGAGGGGGAAGAGGAAGAGAAGCGTAAAGCTTAGTTTTTGGTCTTTAAAGTTTTTGATTTAATTGGCATAAGATAAAACCTTAACATCAGTATTTTTCAAAAGCTCCTCAATTGATGTCAATATATAACCAAGGTTAAAGACTTGACAGATGCCGCCATGAGAAGTCTTGCAGAATAAAGAACTGCACCCAATCAGAAAGTCACGTCAGGCCAGAGGAGTCAGACCTAAGGAAGACTCAGCTGAAACATATTTTAAGGACAGGCTGGCTTCTCCCCACAATACTCTGGCATTGTGCTGTCCCAAGTGTCTTCACACATCCCCTAGGGAGAAAATGGAAGTCTTAAAACAAGACAAAGGGAAAATAAAGTTTTTGTCAGCCTAAAAATGTTACAGGCAGCTAAGCTAGTTAGAAATATAATAGGCAGTCAAACAGGGCCAGGCCCTGGAAGAAGCCAGCAGAGCGGACCTGGTGTCTGATGACCTTGGAGGAGACACACATCTCTTGCTCTGGGCTAGATCCCAGGGCAGAAGGCAAAACAAATACAACCACACCCTTAAGTATAATCCATAGGGATTAAGTCTGGATCACCTAGAGAAGCCAAGAGTCACCATCCCAACTCCCTATAGGAAGAATCACTGACTTGCTTCCCCATTTGTCCCTGATTTGGTCAATTATACCTGAACAATTAAACTTATTGTTTGACTATAGCTCTGTGCTACCTCATGCCCATCTGCGTTGTGAGTTCCCAGTTTTCCCCCACTTTAGACCTGCCTTACCTCATGATTTTATTCTATAAAAATCCTGAAAAAATACAGAATCTTTGGCAATCCCCTCAGGACCCCTTCTGTCTCTCTCTCAGACAAAAGCTTTTACTCTCAATAAATATTCGTACTCTTAACCTCCGTTATTCCTAAAATTCATTCTTCTATGTTAGAGAACACGAACTCTTACCAAACATTAGTAGGTTGGGAGTTTCATTCCCCTATATCAGAAAGATATGAGCTCAACACAAAAACTGAGATGTAGAAAATAGAGCCATGTTTTCCATACCTCTTTAAAGATTGGGATTTATCCTGTTTCATTATCATGAGCCCCTTAAAAGAAAATTCCTACAATTTTTTCAACATACATAGGTCCTTTAAAATGTTTGTTGGATAAATAATTGGACAGCTGCACAGATGATTGTTAGATGGATGAACACATGGCTGGTTGCATAGTCATTGCTGGATGGTAGATGTTTAAAGTAAATAGATAGGTGGTGGATGGCTGCAAAGAGGGATGGACATATGGATGAGTGGGCAAATGATAAATCACAAGGTTAGTGGATGACTAAATTTGTCAAAGAATGAATGAACACATGGACAAGGGAGTGTAAGAGAAAATAAGTCAACAAGATAGTAGACACATCAGAAGTGATCACATCTGGGCTCCGGGGAAATCAAAGAAGGCTCCAATTTCAATGTTATCCAGTTGTTCCTCTATCACCCCCTTGTTCTATGAAGTGCTTTGTGGACTCAGCCTTTTGGCTTCTTTCTTTTTTTCAGGACAGCAAGAACAGGGAGGACAAACTTCCAATGACAAATGAGGAGAGAAAGATGTCCTGGAAAATAAAGCTGCCTCAGTTGGGTGGGCTCACATTGATCTCAGATTCAACCTCCCAACTGAGACAAATGGTCGAAGTCCTTGGCAACAGACACAAAGAAGAGCTTTTGCACAGCCCTGTGATGAGTTCTAACTAACTGTGGTCCCCTACAACTCATGTCAACAGCTGCACTCGGGCTGCACTGCCCAGTCCAGCTGGCTGGGTGTGACAATACTCCCTCCATCAAAAAACAACACAACTGTGTTCTTACTTCAGGGAACCTCCCATGGAGCCTGAAGGTGGCCTTGAATAGACCATGTGTGAGATTCCAATGTGGATTCACTTTCCCAAAGAAACACATCAGGAAATGACTGAACTATGACGACAGTCAAGCATCAGGAAGGGGGAGTTTGTTTTGACTGTGCATATGTGTTTAGTGCTAAACCATTCAAGTCTTATTGCTGAAGGTTCTCAGAATTGATGGCAGATGTGTGTTCAGCTGCCTAAGAGCTTGTGTCAAATGTGACTCCTAGCTCCTTGGGCAACATCTCACTCATGCTCATGTGTGCTCTGTATGCACACTGGGTGAAGACAAAGGAACATTCGAGTTCTATTGAACTCCAGCCCAGAGCAGCCTTTCTGCTCTCACACTTTCATGTTTCAGTGTAAGTATGGCCATGAGAACTCAGACTTCATCCATCTTTAAGATTTACATATAAAAGACAATGAATGAGCACAGCAAGGTATACCTATAACCCCAGATATTTGTAAGAATGAAGTAGGGGAATTGCAGTTTCAAGGACAGCATTGGTTGGAAATGTGGCTCAATGGTAGGGACTTACTGAGCATGGACAAGCTCCCGGGTTCAATCCCTAGTGCTGGAGAGATACAGAAATGAGAGACAGATGAAGAGTCAGAGTCAATCTGTACTGACACAGTGGAGGGAAGTATTGGCTAGAATCGTGATTCAAATATGAAAGTGACAAGGTTACTTATCTATTGAATGGAACTCAGGTGTCCTTTGAATCAGTCTGGCTTTCCCTTTTCTCAGTTCCACCAACTCTGCCAGAAGTCACAAACCCAGTTCAATCTTATTCCTATTCCCCCAATAGCCTAAAGGCTAGCAATGAAGTGGACAGAGCTGGGATCCCAGCCAGCATTGTCATCTTCATTAATCTCTAGGCAGAGGGAAGCCTGAGGCTTCTCAAAGTTTACTCCAGTATAAAAACAGATTGGGTGGGGACTCTGGCGATTGAAAGGGCTCAGCATTGCAAACACTGTACTGCTTCAGATCTCACTCGACACTGAGGTGCTCAATAGGCCAGCAGATTTGGAGAAACCCCTTTCCCTGGCTCACACTGTACCCCATCCTACACCATCTCAGGGACCAGCACATCTGCTTCTTCCTGAGCTCAGTCTTCTCTTGCCAAGTTGGGAAGTGTGTTTGCAAGTCATTTCAGGCCGGCTCTGGGGCTGTGGAAGTCCGCTAAAAAAGCTTGGTGTCCTGTTCCAGACACATTCTGGGAAGAAATAAGCAACACTCTTGGCTTTCTTATGAGCCAGTTTATGAAAGCAATTAAAGAGAGGGCATAGGAATGTCCTCAGTGAAGCTCCTCATTCTAGAAATACCCTCATGGACTGCCTAGGGCCTTTTCCTGCTCAACTGCCAGAACATTGGGAGACTTACGCAAAATGTGGCCTGTGGCTTCAGTTGGCTCATGTGAAGGCATATTACTCACTCCTCATGTTTCCACATGAGGGGACCTCCCTAGTATAACACTATGGCCCTGCCTCTCATGACACTCCCCTGGGTCTCTGTAGCACCACTCAGCCAACAAACTACTTATACTCTGCTTTGGGATTGGAAAACTAGATGGAGTAAGTTTAATTCCTTTGCCAATAGCTGTGGGAAGCTTAACCTTGGGTTGCATTATTAGGGCAGATGGGAGCTCCACACAGGTGGGCTATGACTCACCTGGCAGCCTCTCTAGACCCCAAGGGGGCCTGCTCCTGGTAACCAAGAAAGCTAAGGAAAGTGAGAACAATGCTAGTCTGGACTTCCAGAGCTCTGTGGCTTGGCTCACTCAGTTCCTTTCACTGAAAACCTATTCTTGACCTTGCAAGATCTGTCCTTGCAGATCCAGTAAAAATACCATCTTTTCCATAATCTTGGCAAACTGTCTAAGTTGAAAGAGCTTAATCTACTAATGCAGCATCTCACACTTTTTGACCATGACCCGTGTAAAGGAATACACTCTCTCTCATATAAAACCGCACATAAACACATAGGTAACTGTAACAAATACAAGTCCACAAGACAGCTCTCACACTTATGTGTGTGATATACTTTTACTACGTAGGCTATTTCATATTTTTAAATTGTGATAAATTGCTAAATGAGACAGTGACAGTTTAAAGACCAGCAACTTGTATTTTTATTAATGTAGAACTTGATCTCCTAATGTGAATCATTTCCAAGGTAAAATTAAGTTTAAAACTAAAAAATAAGATACATAATAGTATATAGAGTTTATGATTATTGATCTTGATTTAAAATAGGACACATGTACAGCTCTGAATTGAGACACAATACATTGTCCAATCCACAACTCCTCTGTATTAAAAAGCTCCTATAAGCAATGAAAAAAACAACTATCTTACTTACTCATTTTTCACTTGTATTAACATATAATTGGTGTTCATAAATGTTTGAAAGTTGAATTGAATTCCAAAGAATACTTGATGTAGTCCTCAAAACGTATTTATTCACCTTTCCTCAGTCTTTCAACAAATATTTACTGCAGACTGAGTATATGCTAGCTTTGGGATATCAGCGATCTTAGATTGGTTTTGCTCTATGCTCAATCTTTATTTTGTTTGAATACTTTTTTAGGGCTGACATTGTCTGTCCAACACGCTATTAGGAAATTCCATCTCCAGTTCTTGACAAGGTTGCTGTTCTCCTGTCCTAATCTTTGTTTTCAAAATTAAGACAAAAAACCAACCAACCAACTGACCACTAGAGTATTACAAAACACTCTGATGCATTCCCCTCCTTTTCAAAACCAGTGAATAGCGATGCCCTTGTGAACTCACGCTTCCGTGTATTGCCCTCCCATATGAACTCTAGGCTTTAACACAAGACACGCTTTAGTCACTGAGACAAGACAATAATAACAACACTGCAAGCATAAATTAGAAGAGATAATGCACACTGGGAGTTGCCTGCATGGAACATGCTGTGGAAACTCAGCTGCCACACTGTGAGATGCAATCTTGAAAGGCTTCATGGAGACAATGAAACGTATTCGACTGACAACTCCAACTTTGCTCCCAGCTAGTAGCAGTTCCCAGCAATGTACGTGCACCATTTAAACTGTGCCACCCAGTTGAGACCCAAGAGTTAGCCCACCCCAGTTAATTCTTGGAATCATCAGAGACAAAACATGGTCATTGTTTAAACTACTACATTTTGGGGTGGTTTGTTACACAGAAATAGTTAAATAAAATGTTGGAAAGCACAATTCCCAGCTACGTCTTCAAGTTCTAGGCACCACAAGGGTCCCATTTGTTCCCTTGATGTCCCCTAGACTAAGAATCAGCACAAGTGATTCTTTAATGTAGCCAACTCTGACAGGTTGACCATTAGAGGGCAGTGTCGCTCAAATTCAGAATGCCACCTTCCTACTGGCCCTCAAAGGTCATATGACCCTGTGTTCTTTTCTCCAAACCACCAACACCCTTGGTTGTGCATAAGATAGCATAAAAGGAAGCACAAAACCAAAGCATGGATATCTTCTGGAGGATTCTTTTATACTCAAAAATTTAAGGGAAGACTTATTGATTTGATAATACAGTAAATGGTTATATTTCAGAATAGACTGCAACATTCATAGTAAGTTTTAGGTCAGAATTCAAAATATATCAAAAATATGTTAACAGTAGCTTTAGACTTTGGCTCAAGGCCCTTGGTAGTATCCCATTCCCTGATCTCTGCTTTTCACAGAGATTTAGAAGTAAACAATGAGCCCATATTTATTTGTATCCACTCTTGCTGGCAGAGAAACTCAGGATTAGGAAAAAGATGTGCTTTTCTATATAAGAGGCATATCTCAGGCTGACCCAGGCTTGAGCTCCTAATTCCAAGTTAGCTTTTCAACAACCATATGGTTATAGCCAGAAAAATATTTTTTTTCAAGACCCGCCTCCCCCAAATATAGAAACTAGGAAGCATTACCTTTCCTGATGTCTTCACTCCTTTCCAGAGGCTGAAATACAGGATGATGACGACAAGCATCAGACAGAGTAGAAGCTGCCACTGGGGCAAGCCAATGTCGTGAATCCCGTCACTCTCGTGAAGATGTAGGACCCCGCGCCTACTCAGAGGAGAGGGGAGTGGACCAGGGAAGATAGCATCAGGGTAGATGTTATGGTTTAGATCCAGAATACACAGCAAAACTCTCAGGTTGAGCGTTTGGAAGGTGGTGAGGTCATGGGAGTGCTGTGTGCACCACTGGATTCATTGACAGTTGAGTGTACTGTTGGAAAGTGAGGCCTTGCTCAAGAGCAGGGCAGCTGGGGGCCTGATTTAGAAGCTTCTCTTCCCCCACTCTCCTATAGCCTCCCTTGGCCCTGTTTCCTGGTCACCATGGTGGGAGTACCTTTTCTCTACCCAGGCCTTTTCATGGAGCAGTTTCTGCCTTGAAACCAGTCAACCAGGGACCATCACTGTGAGCCAAATTTAACTTCTTCTTAAATGGTGGGTTTTGGACATTGTGTCTCAGCAACAAAGAGCCAAGGATAAGATGGAAGTCAAGCCGAAAAGAAGAGATGGGACAGAAGTTTAATTCCATCCATTTAAAGTGCTATACAGCTAAAGGCAAGACTAAACCAAGAGGTTAGAGGGATAAAAATGTATCCCTTGGGATGGCGAGTGGGAGTTACAGCCTGGAGGGGACTCGAGGATTTCTAGTACACTTGTCATTTCTACACCTGATCATGTGGCTGTGTTCAGCTTGTGACATTCTTCTCCTAATATGTTATCCTTCAATAAAATGATGTGTTTCTAAATCAAGGTCCAAACAAATAAGAAATACTCTGGAAGTTTGAAAATATTAAGGTCCTTTATACAATCTACAATGAAGGAGTCATAAACAGAATTGCAAACAAAATGATCATTTACTAAATAGAGTCTAAAATTAAAGTCAGTTAGAATCAAGGTCAAATAAGACCAATTGTTGAAACAATAGAGCAGACCCCAGGGAAGGGAAGTCCCTCACCACCGACAATTTCATACCCTGGCAGACAAAACAGGAAGAATGAGAACACCTTGCTGTCTGTGGGGTTTGTTCTGTGCCCAAACCATGCCATCATCTCTGAGGGTTGCCCTTCAGCTGGCCCTCAGACACACTCAGAGGACTGCTGTACACAGCCCCTGCTTTTGTTCTTTGTATCCTGAAGGTAAAATTAAATATACTTTAAAAATAGGGTAAGTTTGGGAAGGGTTCACGGATCTGCAGGATGCACCTCTATCCTGTTTCTCTGAGTTTCACATCCTCATGCTGTAGTTTACTAAATGACTGCCCAAGAACACCTTTAGATTCTCAGCTCCTATGTCACCTCCTCCTAGGAGGCTCTCTGGATATAAATCTTTCATCTTTTCATTTCCTGGGGCATCTGGCTCATTTGCTACCAGATGCTGCCACTATGACATCAATCAAGGTTAACTGTATGGATGGGAGGACGGCTCCAAGGTCTCCTCATGGACACCAGAATCTGTGACTGTTCAAGACCCTTTTATAAAATATTATTGCATTTCACACTTACTTTCTTTATATTTTAAATCATCTCTAGCTTACTTGTGATTGTTAATACAAAGGGATGTAAATTGTTGTTATATTGTATTATTTAAAGGGAACTAAAACAACTGTGTATTCATGTTCAGCACTAATACAATTTGTTTTCAAGTATTTGTAATCACTGTGCTGAATCCTGGAATGCTCTCAGATAGGAAGGCTGAGTGTGCAACACTCTTCTGAGATACAGAGGTAAATTAATCATACCCAGGTCCCCAGAGTTCAGCCCAGGAATAGCAGCCATACCTGCTAGAAGCAGATAGTTGGGTTAGGAAGACATAAATACCCCCAACTTTTCTTGCAAGCCCCAACAATCCATCTTCTACAAAAGATGATCCCCTAGGACCATCCCCAAGAAGTTGGAAAGATCAACTTCTTGTGTACTCTCATTTCTTCTCTTAGCATCTCCTGCCCAGAGTCATGGGAAACTTCCAACAATTTGTTCAGTTATTTCATACTGCCTGGGCTAAGCACAGTTTCCCACAGAGGAGCTTAACTTCCCTGTGCCTTGTTTCACAGGTGTTTTCTCTCAGCCTGTGGTTTGTTCAGAAAGAGGCTGATTGACAAATATTTACAAAAGGGATAGATGCAAACAGTGATTTAATATATCTCTTTCCCTGGCGTGATGTTTTAATCCCAAGCAAGAACTCATTGATGGCAAAAATGTTACACACTGCAATGGGTAGGTGAGTCTCTCTCTCTCTCTCTCTCTCTCTCTCTCTCTCTCTCTCTCTCTCTCTCTCTCTCCCCGCTTCTCTCATTCCTTCTTCCTCCTGCTCTTTCCTTTCTCCTTTTTCTCCATCTCCAAGGAAAAGTACAGGTAAAGAGAATCAATACAATTTGACCCCTTTCAACAAATGTAGTGTTCTTAACCCACACATAAGAATCATCTAGGGAGCTTTTAAAAATTACTAACTTAAAATAAAACTTTAAAAATATCTTATCATTAAAAAGTTACTGCTGGCACAGTCTGGGCAGCATTGGGTGTTGTGTCTGTGTGGTGCTGAGAATGAAACACAGGGCCGCTTGAACACAAGCAACTCTCTACTACTGGCTCACACCCCTAGCCCATGTTTTAAGTTTGTTCATCTTCTTAGTGGATGCCTGACTCATAAATGCTTAAGATTATTCATTTCTGACTTCCAGGAGAACATGGCAGATAGATAGCAGCAGCTATGGAGGCTCTCTGAGATACCCTGCTTAAAATCCAGGAATGGTACAGTATGAAGAGTCCTAAGCAAGGGGAGATACACCCTGTCGACCCAGGAATGAACTAAGCTAAGAGAAACCAAGTGGAAATCCAATCCTGGTGCTATAACAGGAACAGATAAAATCTCAGCACGGAAGCTAGAACCCACGTCACTGGAAGCTGTGATTTGAATTTCCTGCTGCCATTACTGTGTCCAAATCTGCAGGGCAGGGAGAGAGATGTGCAAAAGCTCTGAGAGCGGGAATCTGTGAATGGAGTTGAGAGCAGGACTAGCAGGGAGCCCTACATCGACTTGCGGTGAGTGAGCGGAACGGGGACCCTTTCATAGAGTAGGAAGCTCCAGCAAAGGACATACTGGGACTGGGCAGACTTGCCAGAACAGGACACTGTAGTGACATTAGCCGCATATTCCCCTCTCAAGCGGGATTGGTGGGGAGTGCCTGGCCTGTGTGATGCCACTGACTAAGACCCAGTAGGTTAGCCCAAACGAGGTCCCAGTGCCTGGAGGTGCACCCTAGCGGTGAAACCTTAGGTAGGTTGACCTGGAGGGGCAGGCCCAGCATAGGCTGCCCAGGTCTGTGTCTCCCTAGTACACTCCTAGGGAACACCTAGCTGGTGCAATTCAAACAAACTGTAACTGACAAAGAGAAAAAAATTGGGCCTCCAACATTTGCTTGTATGGAAGGAACAAAAAGTATGGGAAGAGGAAGCAACAAGAAAGGGTCCTCAGTCCCCAATCCTGAGAACACTGATCCAGGAAAGGGAAATGCAAAGGAAGACAGAAAACATGCAATATCAGACACGGCACTAATAGACATAAAGCGGTATCTCCAGAGCCTCATAGATGAGTTCAAAAGTGAAGTATTTAGTGCAATAAAGCAAGATATAAGTAGAATAGTGAGAGAAATGCTAAGTACCGCCCAAGAAAAAACAGATGGTGGAATGGAAGAACAGAAAAAAAGGGGAGAATTGTTTGATGGAGAAAATAGAGAAAACATAGAATACGTGAAGCAGGTTCAAAGAGATTACCAGGAAACTAGAAACTCTATCAAAAGCGGGCATAACAGCTTGAAAGAAACTAAGGATAGGTTATCTGAATTGGAGGGCAGATTTGTAAAATGGGAACAGGAAATGAAAAACTTAAAAACGACAAGAAAACAAACAGCAATAATACAAAGGCTAGAAGATGATAAGAGGATCTATAACTTAAGAATTAAGAATATAAAAGAAGAAGTAGGGACACAAACAAATGGACTACAAAAGCTATTCACAGAAATAATCCAAGAGAATTTCCCTAATTTAGCAAAAGGTAAAGATACTCAGATGTATGAGACATACAGGATCCCAGCCACCTACAACCCAAACAGAGCTACACCCAGGCATATAATAATCAAAATTCCAGAAATCCAATATAAGAACAGAATACTAAAAGCCATCAGAGACAAGAAACAGATAACCTACAAGAGAACACCCATCAGAATTACAGCAGACTTCTCGGCATAAACCATCAAATCACGAAGAGCATGGGGGGAAATAATTCAAGCTTTGAAAGATAACAACCTCCAGCCAAGATTGATATATCCTGCACAACTGTCCCTAGAAATTGATGGAAAAACAAGGTGCTTCCAGGATAAAGAGGAACTAGGGGAATTTGCAACCACCAATTCAACTCTACAGAGAATACTGCAGGATATTCTAAAAAAGGAAAATACCAAGACTTCAGAAACAGTGGCAGAGAGGCCACAATGAATGGAGCAGAAAGTGAAATGAAGAAGACAAACTGACAACAAACGACAGAAAAAGAGCTCAACAGAAATGAGGCAGAGAAGATTGGATGGTAGGAACAGCTATTTTGGAGAAAACAAGACATCATAATAGCTAGTGCTGATTTAGTATCATCTTGCTTTGAAGTCCTATCAAGCTTTTATTCTTCTGTCTCCATCAGTCTTAAAAGGTTGTATCTTATTGGATTTTATTATATATGATAAGTAAAAACTTTTATAGACAAGGAGATTATACAGAAACCACTGTTCATTTTCTGATAGTTGGTTCTAAATACCCTGTAATACTGTCATTCTCTTGAATGGTTTTACATTGTCTTGATATGTTTGGTGCTACATTATACGAAATTATACTTAAAGATTTCAAGGAAAGAGACACTATGGTAACTACTTTTATGTCAGGATATCTTGTGGTGCAACACTATTTTGCTTAAATGGTTATGCTTTGACCTGCGCTGGTTTGTTGTTATGCCCTCTTTTATCTCAATCTCCTTTTCTAAAAATTATTTACTTCTTTATCTTTTTAATTA